AATTGACAACGGTCAAAATTGACAGTAAAAATTGACAGTCAAAATTGACAGTAAAAATTAACGCCGCCAAAATTGACAGCCAAAATTGACAGTCAAAATTGATGACACCAAAATTGACAGTAAAAATTGACAGCCAAAATTGACAGCCAAAATTGACAGTCAAAATTGACAGTCAAAATTGATGACACCAAAATTGACAACAGTCAAAATTGACAACGCCAAAATTGACAGCTAAAATTGACAGTAAAAATTGACGATGGTCAAAGTTGACAATGCCAAAATTGACAGCCAAAATTGACAGTAAAAATTGACAGTAAAAATTGACAGTCAAAATTGACAACACCAAAATTGACAACGGTCAAAATTGACAACGCCAAAATTGACAGTAAAAATTGACAGTCAAAATTGACAACGCCAAAATTGACAGTCAAAATTGACAGCCAAAATTGACAGTCAAAATTGATGACACCAAAATTGACAACAGTCAAAATTGACAACGCCAAAATTGACAGCCAAAATTGACAGTCAAAATTGATGGTCAAAATTGACAACGCCAAAATTGATGACACTAAAATTGACAGTAAAAATTGACAGTTAAAATTGATGGTCAAAATTGACAACACCAAAATTGATGACACCAAAATTGACAGTAAAAATTGACAGCCAAAATTGACAGTAAAAATTGATGACACCAAAATTGACAACGGTCAAAATTGACAACGCCAAAATTGATGACACCAAAATTGACAGTCAAAATTGACAATGGTCAAAATTGACAACGCCAAAATTGACGGCCAAAATTGACAGTCAAAATTGATGACACCAAAATTGACAGTAAAAATTAACAGTCAAAATTGACGCCGCCAAAATTGACAGCCAAAATTGACAGTCAAAATTGATGACACCAAAATTGACAGTAAAAATTGACAGTCAAAATTGACAACACCAAAATTGACAGCCAAAATTAACAGTAAAAATTGACAACAGTCAAAATTGACAACACCAAAATTAATGACAGTCAAAATTAACAGTAAAAATTGACAATGATCAAAATTGACAATGCCAAAATTGACGGCCAAAATTGACAGTCAAAATTAATGACACCAAAATTGACAGTAAAAATTGATGGCCAAAATTGACGACGCCAAAATTGACAGTCAAAATTGACAACACCAAAATTGACAACACCAAAATTGACAACAGTCAAAATTGATGACGCCAAAATTGACAGCCAAAATTGACAGTAAAAATTGACAACGGTCAAAATTGACAATGCCAAAATTGACGGCCAAAATTGACAGTCAAAATTGATGACACCAAAATTGACAATGCCAAAATTGATGGCCAAAATTGACAGTCAAAATTGATGACACCAAAATTGACAGTAAAAATTGATGGTCAAAATTGATGACGCCAAAATTGACAACACCAAAATTGACAATGGTCAAAATTGACAGTAAACATTGATGACACCAAAATTGATGATGCTAAATTTGTCGGTCAAAATTGATGATGGCCAAAATTGACAGTAAAAATTGATGATGGTTAAAATTGATGGCAAAAATTGACAGTGAAAATTGACAGTAAAAATTGACAACAGCTAAAATTAACAGTAAAAATTGACAACAGCTAAAATTAACAGTAAAAATTGACAATGGTAAAAATTGACAGTCAAAATTGATAACAGTAAAATTTGACAGTCAAAAATTAACAACTAAAATTGATGGTGAAAATTGACAGTCAAAACTGACTTAAGAAGCCAGTGCTGTCACAACTATACTTTTTCTTTTCTGTAATGAGTGACCTGCTGAGACACTTGAGCTAAACACTTAATGGCCTTTTGACTTCATACCCATGCTTTCTCAAACTCAGACTGATTGAGCACTTGTGCTGTTTGGTCTCTTCCTGCAGCTTTGCACTGATATGCCTTCATGGCAGTTCTGTACTGATTATAATAGAAGGCCTCTATCTGTGCAACTTTCAACTGCTGCTGCATATATCTCTGATGCTGTGCATGTTTTTCCTGCTTTCTCATCAGGCTTTCTGGGTCAGAATCCTCTTCAAGATCCATTCTGGTCACTCTGGGCCCAAGCAGTGTCAGATTGCTGTTGGGCTGGGGCTGAGGGCAAGACTGTCAAGATCAAGTTGCTCTTGGAAGATCCATGCTCTGGACCTGCTGCCTCTCTGCCTCAACAAGAGCCTGGATGTGCAACACAAGCTGGAATGTAAGCCACTTGTGGTTGATATGCAGCTGGCTTGCAGATTCACCCTCTTTCTGTGTGAATGAGTATAGAACATGATGTTCAGCCACAGTAGTCTGAAGATGGCAGCTCAGCTCACTGAAATACACACCAGCAGCCAGCAAAAAGACTTCTGGATTGGAAGACATTGCTGCAGGAACAGGATATTGACCTTGTTCAATGGCAAGCCAGGCATCAAGATTACTGGGGACTGAGGGAAGAGCCACATCCAGAGGCAAAGGTTGATCACCAGCCTTCCAACCTGCCAGAGGCAGCTCATCAATCATGTCCAGCTCAATAATGGTGAGTTCTGGCCAGTACTGCTGAAGGTAGTTAACCAGTCCTGAATGGATGCTAGTCCAGCTTCACAGTTTCCCTCCCTTTCTATGTGTCCAGAAGACTGCTGTGCTTGGATAGAGCAAGATCCAGTGGCTGTGGATGAAGGTCTGCTTCACAATTGTTCACCACTTATGGGCCTGCTGAGTCCCATACACACTGACAATGATATCAAAAGACTGGTGGAAGAGGATCTGGTACTGCTTTGACTCCCAGTGTTTACACAGCCAGTTGCTATTCCCATTGCTGTTCCAGCCCCAGAGCCATGTAAAGAGCATCTCAATGTTCCTGACTTTCATTCTGGAGTCTGTAATGAACTGGATGTCTTTCCAAAAGTGGAAATGTTGAAAGATTTGTGAGATATCAGCACAGGTGAGTGGAATTTCACTATTGCATGCATTCTCAAGCCTAGTGGAATGAAATGGCTGTTGGGTGACACAGTCAGCCAGGCTTCTGAAGACACCCTTCTGGAAGGCTCTCAGGCAGAGAGTTACCAGCAGCTGCAGCAGCAGTGCAGAGCAGGTGGAGTCTAGATGGACATCCAACATGCAGTTGAATACATCATGAAAGAGCACAAAGTCAGACTTGAACTTGATCAGTTGCTGGTACTGCTGGTAATAGACCATCTGTAGAGTTGGGGTGTTGAAGACCATGTGCACCCAATGTGGTGGCTTGAATGTCATGGCCATCCAGTCAAGCTTGTCAAGAAACCAGGCATAGCCATACAGCTCCAGTGTGGATGCCATCTCAAGGCCCTTCTGAATCTGCTCTGTGTCAGAACTCTCTGGAGGCAGTTGCACCTGATGATTGAGCCACAGGCCATTACTGTGGCAGAGATGATTGCCCTGGCATCCATACATGCACAGGAGGCATTAAAGAAACATCATCATCATCTGAGTGTGTTTCCAGTGCACCACAGTGCGCAGCTGCAAGCTGTAGATCATCTCAAACCCAGTGCACAGCTTGTTGATGTTCCACTGCAGCCACCCCAGAAGCTGGTTGGTGCAATAGTTGAGAAAGAGCACTGGGCATTGGGGCACAATTGTGGGATGATTGGCTAGATCACTTTTCTGGAGGATTTGGTCCATGGCCTGCAGGACAGCAGCAGTGACCCAGTACTCCTCCTGAGTTCTGTAGAACTGCTGGTGGCAGTCAGAAATGGCAACATGGCACCATTGCTTGGTGTGGATGTATGTGTGCAGCAAGGCCAGAGGGAAATGGCTAATGGCCTTTCCAATATGCTGCTAGATCTGTACCAGCCCAGGATCCAGAGCCAATGTGTCCAGGTTCTCATTTGCAAACAGGGAATGCTGGCTGGCTGTGAAGATCTTCTTGATGGTGTTGTAGAACTGGCAGTAGAGCAGACTCTGGTGGTGAAGTGGGGAGCACTGGTGTGGCTCTAGTGTCATGGACCCCAGATCATGCAGGAATAACAGTGGATAGAACTGCTTGCATCAGAACCCTTCCTGTGGATGTTCATGTTCTGAATCAGAAGTCTGGACATTGGCAACTGGTGTGCCACCTGCTGAATGTTCATCCAGATTGCTGGTATTCTCTTTATCTTTATCTTCACTGCCCTTACTGAGCTCTGGCTGGTATGCATCTTCATCCTCACTCCTGTATGCCAGCTCCACTGACTGGTGTTGGATGTGGCCAGAGTCTGAGGCCTCAGATGTTACTCTTTGCTGAACATGGCTGTAAAGTTAGTGGGACTGTTGGAGCTGGACAGCTGCTGCTGGGTGGTCATTATTGATCTGCATCTTTATTGAATTGTCTGGTGAGCTATCAGGCTCAGATGAAGTGGGAGAAGAGATTCTTTGTGCAGCTGGTGAATCTCTCAGTCATTTACAGAAACAATTCAGGCAGCAATGTTGTCAGATGAATGTGCAGGGTGTGTGTGTTGACTTCTGGTGCAACAGAAAGCTCCAGAGTGAGACCATCTTCTTACTAGGCTGGTATTCGGGACCGGGATGGGATCCCATTTTCCATTGAACCTGGTCCCTGTCCTGAATTTAGAAACAGCCAGGATCCCAAATATGAAATCTCAGTCCCATGTCCCATCCCACTCAAGAGCTTGAGGTCCCATTCCCATTCCTATTCCAGAAATTATTTCCCAGTCCCATCCTCAAATAGAAAATTATGTCCCACATTCCATCCCAGCAGAGATGGTAGACTCCCATTTCCCATCCCGGCTGGGTCCATAGTGGGACTGGGATGGGACCAGGATTCCTGGTCCCATCATGTCAAATTCATAGAGAAGAGTCAAACTGATCAAATTTTGTGTGGACTGTTACCAAATTTCATTACTTTTTTGATGAAGGCGGAACCCATAAAAAAATCAATTTGATTGTCAAAAGAAACCAAGTATTAAAACTAACTAATGGCTGAAGCCAGCAAACAAACAGGAACTGCCTAAATGGCAAGTTAATCATCATTATCATCATCTTCATCATCATTATCATTCTTCTTCTCCCCCTCCTCCTCCTCCTTCTTCTCCTCCTCCTGCTCCTCCAGAACTGGCTTTGTGAACCAGACAGGGGCTCTAATACCTGCCATTTGACAGGTGGAGACCCTGATGGTGCTGGGGGGAGGCAGGGAGGCAGTGGTGGGTGGTGGCAGTGGTGGTGGAGTGGTGGCAGCAGTAGTTGGCAGGGTGGGGGCAGCATGCAGGCAGTGGGTGGTGGCAGCAGAGGCAGAGTGATCAGGTGCATCAATCAGGCTGAAATAGTTTGACCTAATTTTGGCACCAATGCCAAGAACAAGCTTCATATTGTTGGTGTTGACTGTAATGTGCTTATAGTGTGCCATTGCCATAACAGAGTCTATATTACTCAGTATAATTGTTGGTGCCATTGCTAAGGGTGACTTACACTCAAACAGAGCATACAAGATTGCTTCAGCTGTCTTCTGAAGTGACTCAATGGCAGTATGTTGCCAGTGATATTCATGTCCTTGGTGACAGGACAAAGTAATTTCCTGAACCAATCACTGGAACAGGGCCACCAGCAAGATTAGCTTGGTAGAGCTCTGGAAGTGGTGGATTTTCTTGATGGCACCTATTTTCACCAATTAGCATCAAGACTGTTATCAAAAATCATTACTTTTTGACATATGAGTGCTGGCCTTCCAATTTTGAACAGGGGGGCAGGGGTGGAGATTCTCCTGATTAAAGTTGGTCAGATCAACATCTTTATTGGCTTTATGCCAATTGCTCTTCTTCAGGGCCCATTCTTTCAATGCAGCCTTGTGCTGCTCCTCTCCAGCTGTATGAAATGGATGTGCACAGGGAAAACTAACATCTTGTCAGTAAACAATGTGTGTCAGAGCAGTATTCTGCAAGCACTCACCTCTTAACACAACCCATTTTGTTGCAGTATATGTTTATTGTACACACAGACATTGAAGTGCAGTAAATAAAAAGATGGTGAAGGGGGGGGAGAGGGGAATCATCAATGTTAGCCCTGAAGAGAAAGAAGAAGAAGAGAAAGAGAAAGAGAAGAGAAGAGAGACTGACCTGATATTATTATTCTGTAGCCAGCATAGCAACAACACATTAATCTTGCTTATAGCAACATGCCTGTAGAATGTAAACAATGTGTATAGTAACTATTCTACAGTACTTGGTCAATACACTCTATAATCCCATTATCCTGTAGCCAGCATAGCAACAATGTGTTGAGCTTGCCCATAGCAACATGCCTGTAGAATGTAAATAATGTGTATAGTAACCATTCTATGCAAGTACTTGATCAATATACTCTATAATCTCATTATTCTGTAGCCAGCAATTCAACTCATCACATACAATTGTGAAGATGGGGCCAAAACAATATTCAATGAGAGAGAAGACCCATGCAGCACAGGAGCACTGCCAGGCCTTGAAAGACCATTAAAAAGATATATTCAAGACAGGAGAGACAGATTGCAAGGCACACCATGACATGCTGAAGAGAATCTGAGCAAAACATAAGTGATATGTACTCTCAGTAGTTTGCATTGAATCATATTGACATCCATTACAGGCAGAATAGCAGTGAGAAGGATTGCAAGATGATTGAAGATAAAGCCATTGAAGAGTTAATGGCCAAGTGATTTGCCAAGAGCAAGTTAAAGAAGTACCATGAGCACCAGCTCATGGTCTCTCAGCAAAAGAAGAGGGAGGAAGAGAAGAAGTATTGCTGAGAAGAGGTTACAGAGACTGAGAATGAAGCTTGGCAGAAAAAGAAGGTAGAATTTAAAAGTAATGAAATTTGATAATGGTTCTGACATATTTAGATTAAAACAAGCCAGATGCAGCATTCTATTGCTGCATGTAGGAAGACCTGATTCTGCTAAATGATAGTCAGGCTTGAGGTCAAGATCATGGCCCATGATCATAATTGTCTTGCTGTGGTTGGTGTGTTGAGAGAGAGAGTTGAGGAGGAGATGAGAGAATTTCTGGATCAATTACAGGGTCTGAGTGAAGACAATAACAGCTTATCTGCCCCAGAGGAGATGGAGAAAGATGATTTTGAGATTGTGGTGTCCTCTGATAAGAATGATGAGGAGGACAATGAGACAGAGGATGATTGGATTATTGATATCTAGAGAAGGAAGTTAGGTTTTTAGTTCTTTTTTCATATTAATTTGAGAATGGGGTGTTATTAAATTGGCAAAATGTTTTATTTTCCTGAAGAAGAATGTTCCATTTTATAGAAGAAGAAGATTTTGTAGTTGATTGCTGTACTTACAGAGTAAAATGAGGCTAACTATCTAGAGATTGTTAAATTTTGTGTGGGCTCTGACCACATTTTGTTACTTTTTTGACTAAGGCAGAACTTAGAGAAAAATCAATTTGATTGTGAAAAAAAAAAAAAAAAAGAAAAATCTAATGACTGAAGCCAGCAAACAAGCAAAATCTACAGAGGTTTCTTTAGAATTGATTATAGTTCAACATGGAAAAAAACAATTTGTATTGTGGAAGGAGCTGCATTATAAGTTATTTGTTACTTGGTGATTGACTACTGAAGCTGCTCAGTTGATTAATGATAAGAAGTGTGGTGACCCCAACTGGAAGGCAAAGCAATGCCATTCTGATTTTTGGTCAAAATTTGATCAGGTGGCAGAGCATTCTAAGAGTACTTCAGAGATGATTTGCAAGCATTGCCAAATCTTTCTCAGCCATTCAAGCTTTTCTTGAAATAGTACAAGTGGTCTGAAGAAGCATTTAATGAGCAAAGATTGTACAAAAACTGATGACAGACAGGGTAACACTCTGGTTAACATGATGGTAGGTCATGGATTCTAATTTCCCAAATGTAATAAATTTTAGTAATGGTTCTGGTGTCTTAGCAACAGTTTCTGAAGTGTCCTCAAACAGATTCAGATCTGCCTGTTCCTGAATGCAATCAAGACAATTTTCTCCAGCAGCTTGTGCAAACATTAATATTCTTGAATCTCTCATTTTGTACTATTGAGAATCCAGCATTCTGCATATTAATAATCATGCTCAACTCTGCAATGGCTTTACAGATACCCACATGAGGAACATTATATCAGGTCATGAATGATATGTACAATCAGCTATTCTGAAATCTTCTTTTTGACCATGATTCAACAATCAAGATATCTCTGGCAGTGGATAATTGGACAAGTCCCAATAACCTTGTCTTTATGGCAATTAATGGTTATTATATTACAAAGGATTGGGAGTACCATGAGCATTTACTGAATTTTGAAAGTTTAGAGGGTGCTCATACTGGCAAGAATATGGCAGAGATTCTTCAACAATTACTAGCAGCATGAAGACTTGAGAGCAATCTTCTTGCAATTACAAGTGACAATGTGTCAAACAATGATACTATGTGAGCATATCTTATACATCAGTTAAGGCCAGCATTGCAGCAGTTGAACAAGACAACTGATTGGGATGCAGAGAGTGGGACAATATTCTGTCTTGCTTATGTGATTCAACTTGTGGTTTGAGAGCTGGTTTGCAATCTCAAGATTCAGCCAGACAATAATACTCTACCCACTATCTTTGATGAGAGCTCAATTACTGATGATCTAGCATCAACAGACACATTTGCAAATACTCTTAGAAAGATAATGAAATTTGGTAATGGTCTTGATATACTTGAGTTGATTTACTAATCTTTGCTTGACAATAGATTTGTCTTGTTGCCAATGCAACTAATGCCTCCCCCCAACTTGCTGCACATTTTCAAGAATATCAACAAGAGAACCAGCACAAGATGATTCAAGATGTTTGCACAAGATGGAATTCCATTTATGAGATGTGTGTTCATGCCTTGTTGCTTTGACAAGCTGTGGACTCATGGATCCAGAACTCATTACCAAAATACTAAAGGCTTCACTTATTGGACCATGACTGGAAGCAGCTAGAGTATATGATTGGACTGTTGCAGCCATTCAGTTGATTTATCAAGATACTGTTCAAAACAACAGACCCAACAATTCATCTGGTATAGGCAATGTACAATCATCTTTTCCAGCATTTAGAAAGAGAGGAGAACAAGACCCAACAGTTGATAACAAGAGAGAACATTCAAGAAGCTATTAAAGCTGCCAACTTGAAATTCCAGAAATACTATAGTGATACTGAGCATTCAAAGAGTGAGCTGCTAGCTGTAGCTGCTGCCCTCCATCCATCATGCCACATGAGAGCATATGATTCAGAGGATTGGACCAGTAATGAGTGTGAAACATACTGATAATATATTTTGAGGTTTTACAAAAAGCATTATGAGAAATATAAACAGCCAAGAGAAGTAATACTTGATGTGAATGATGTATGTTTGTTATAAGTATTATTCTGATTTCTTCTCTGCTAACTTCTCTAGAATATTGAGCAAATGATTTTTGAGAGACTTCATCAAAGATGAGCAAATTTCCAAAATGAAATGGAGCAATATTTAAATGACAAGAATTTGACATCATCTTGAGCTCCAATTCTGGAACAGTGGAGGATGCTAGAGCCTGATTTTCCAACTGTTGCTTGGATGGCAAGGGACATTCTGGCTATACCTTTGACAGGGGTTGAGGTAGAATGGGTTTTTAATGTTGCTTGGGATACATGTTATTATTGATGATTGCAGCTCCATGCATCTACAATCAAGAAGATCATACTGCTTAAACATGGAGATAAGGTGCATATGCTGGATGAAGCACTTATATCACATGAGAAGTTGGCCAAGAAAGTTATCCAAGATAATCAAGATGATCAAGATACTTCAGAGATTGTATAGAAAGAGATTGCAAGCCTGCTAAATCCACTACTTAATTCAGATGAGGAACAGGAAATATGTCAATGTTATCAATAGATAGACTCAAGTAGCTAATAGCTTGCAATATGATCCAATTATGCAAAGAGCATTACCAAATTTTGGTACTTTTCCAAAGTTGAATAAATTGATAAAATTATGTTAGGACTGTTACCAAATTTCATTACTTTTTGACAACATAAATGGGACTGGAGTTCCTGGTCCCATCCTACACTTTACTGGTCCTGTCTCATATACAATATTGAAATCCTGGTCCTATCCCATTTTGTCATGTCAGGTCCCGGGCCCATCCTACTAGCTAGATTTTGATCCTGGTCCCAATCCCATCCCAATCCCAGTTCACATGGAACTGTCCCAATATGCTGTTAAACAACCCAGTCCCATCCCATTAAGCTGAGCTTCAACCTGATCCTGTCCTCAGGATGGGAATTGGGACAGGAATCTGGGACCAGGACAGGAAATTCTGGAACCGGATACCACTCTACTTCTTACTAATATTGTAGAAGCTGGTGGTCAGATAGTGCCTGTTCATGGCCTGATTCCACATGCAAAAGAAGACATCATGCATGCCAGACCAGATGGCATGCTGGATTGAGAGCTTCAGGTTCTTAGCAGTCAGAAGGAGTATGAGTCTCTAAAAGTGCTGAAGCTCTGGATCTTGAATAGTTGTCTGCACATGCTTTCAGAGATGGTGAAGTTCTGCTGGCTGTAGTGAAAAGTGGAACTCCTGCACCTGTAGCTACTTATGAAAAGTCTGATTATAGCCTTCTGTCTGAGCTGTAGTGGAACTGAGCTGGATATGTGTGGCACTGGATGGCAGGTGGAGAAGTGTGGATGCAGAGTAAACATGGTGAAGGGCTGGAAGAAAGATCTTGTCTGTTCAGAGAGCATACTTCTGCTCTGTAATGATGTAGTGCTGGTGCTGGAGGCTGAAAAGCTGGGGGAAGAGAATGTAGACCTCAATCTCAGAAAATTCAACCAGTTGTCTAAACAGAAGATGAGGGATCTGGTGAACTGGTCTCTGGAACTGGTGGACTCTTTCAGTCTGCTCATCTCTCCACTGGACTGAAATGGGATCCAGGTGAAGAGAACTCTTCAGATTGCTTGTCAGAAACCAGTTGGCTTTCCATTAGAACTTCTCATGGGCCACTGTAAGACTTGAGGCCAGACTACTGGTGCTATCAATGTCAATCATGGCATGCAGGGATGCTGGCATCAGGATGGTATCACCTTTCAGATCAATGGTTGTGGGGTGTGGAGGTACTTTCTCATGAGCTAAAGACTCTACTGATGCACACATCCCACTGTATAGTCTTTGGTGCTGATGAACTGGCAGGATGGTGTTCCACTGTATGGGATAGGAAGACATGCTGGCATGCTCTAAGATATCTGGACATTTCCAGCTTGCCATCTGTAAGAGAGACACTGTTGGCATGGAGAGTGGCTCTAATGCAGCATGAGCCTCAGTAGAGCACCCATGATGGGTCTGCAGCTGTGCCACCAGCTTCTGTACAAGTATGTTGTCTTCTTTTGTTGATTCTACTGTATTTGTGGGCAGGAAGGGTCCATAATCTGATCTTGACTCTGATGTACTGGGGCTGGACAGGCCTGAAGGCATTAGCAATGGTGCTGGATCTAGAATGTAGTTAGAGATTTAAAATGCTTGGTCATCTTATTCTGTTATGGATAACTGACCATCCTCACTGCTGCTGGATTCTGCTGGTGATGGAGGGCTCTTGTGCTCTATTTTGTCAGACTCAGACTCAAGCAATCCTTCTTCAATCATGTCTGGTGGCTCAGAGCTTCCACACTCAACAGATACTGTATCAAGAGCTTCCTGTAGGTCCACAAATATATAGGGCAAATCCTCAACAGGCTGGAAAAGACTGGCCCTGCTTTAGAGATTGCAGGTCAAGAAGATATTCTGGAACAATGTTAATGTGCTTGCTGATGTGACTGCTTGCTGCTGCTGTTGTTGTCTTTAATATGCTTGCACTTGTGCCTGAACTGTGTCTCTCTCAGTTGCATACTTGTGTGGCCACCCATAGCTCATGCTGACTGGAGTGGTTTTGACCAATGTGCTTGCTGTGTGGAGAAATTGCAGAGGATGCACTGGAATAACATTGAATCTGAAGTGTCTGAGCCAGAGTCTTGAGATGGTGAGATTTTGGCTTGGCTTACTGGATGAAATGAACATTTGTGATAAATCAGAAATGTCACTCTTCTGATCATCCCAAGTCTATAAATTTATTAAAAATATCAGTCTCTTTCTTCTGCCAACTTTGAGCCTACAAAATAAAGCTC